GAATTGAACCTAGGTCCTCTGCAAAAGTAGTCAGTCCTCTTAACTGCTGAGCCATCTCTCCAGCCCCCAATTCTAAAGCTTTTAATAACTTCTATAATTATATTGTTAGAATTGTTTTCTTTTATTATCATCATTGTTTTGTTAATGTTAGTCACTGTTCTGGTTTGTTTCTCTGTTGCTGTGACAAAATACTCTGACCACTACCAACCTGGGGAGGAAAGGGTTTATTTAGCTTCTGTCTCCCAGGTCGCAGTTCGTTAGGGAGCCCAAGGTAGGAACTCAGGGCAGGAACCTGGAAGCAGGAGCTGGAGCACAGGCCATGGAAGAATGCTGCTTACTGGCTTGCTCCCCTGGCCCCTGCTCAGCCTGCTTTCTTATGCAACACAGGCCCATCTGCCCAGCGGTAGCACCACCCATACTGGGCTGGGCCCTCCCACATCATTCATCAAGAAGATGCCCCTCAGACATGGCCACAGGCCAGTCCAATAGAGGCAATTCCCCGACTGAGGCTCCCTCAACCCAGGTGTGTCAAGTTGACACTAAAGCTATCCAGCACAGTCACTTAACTTATAAATTAAACTTCTATCACGGTTATGTGTGCATAGGAAAAAACATAGAACATATAGGATTTAGTGGTGTTAACAGTTTTGTTTTGGTTTGGTTTTAGTTTTCAGTTTTTTGTTGTTGTTGCTGTTTTTGACACAGGGTCTCACTGTAGCCTCAGCTGGCCTGGAACTCACTATGTAGACCAGGCTGGCCTCGATTTCATAGCACTCCACCCGACTCTACCTCTCAAGTGCTCAGATTAAAGGCATGTGCCACCATACCCTGCCACATTCACAGTTTTAAGCATCCACTGAGGGTCTTGGATCCCACATTGATGAGGAATAGACACTTGGATTAATGGAGCAAAACAGAAAATCCAGAACAGATCAATATAAATATGTTCAAGGTTGGAAAAGGACCAAAAACAATTCAGTGGCAGAAAGGATCCCCCTTAAAGATGGTGCTAGAGAAGGGGTGTAGCTCAGTGGTAGAATGCTTACCTCACTTCTGCTAAGGCTCTGGGTTCATTCATCAGCTCTGAAATTAAAAAACATGGTACTGGCCCAATAAGAAGGCTCAGCTGGTAAGGGTGCTTGTCACTAAGCAGAACAACTTAAGAGCAATCCCCAGGACCCATGTCGTAGAAGGAGAGAACTGATTACTACAAGTTGTCTTCTGACCTCCACATGTGCCCCCCATCCACATACATACATGGACTTTAAAAGATTTTTTTAATTATTTATTTTTATTTTATGTGTAAGAGTATTTTGTTATAACTCATGCATATAAGTACACATGCATGCAATACCCACAGAGGTCAACAGAGGGCATCAGATCCCCTGAAACTGGAGTCACAGACTGTCATTGCCCACCATATGGGTCCTGGGAACTGAACCTAGACTCTCTACAAAAGCAGCCAGTGTTCTTAATGACTAAATCATTTCTCCTAAAGTGTCCCTAAAAGTTTTCAACAACATCATAGGAAATTTAAAAAAAAAAAAATCTCAACCTGATTCTCACATTTTATACAAAAATCATCTTCAGCCAGGCGTGGTGGCACACTTTAATCCCAGCAGAGGCAGGCAGATCTCTGTGAGTTCAAGGCCAGCCTGGTCTACATGCGAGTTCCAGGCCAGCTGGGGCTTCAGGGAGACCCTGTCTCAGAAAGATCAAAGCAAAACAAAGTCTTCAGATAGCTCATGTAATTAAATATAAAACTGCGAAAACTGCCGGACATAGTGGCGCATGCCTTTAGTCCCAGCACCTCGAAGGCAGAGGCAGGTGAATCTCTATGAGTTCAAGGCCACCCTGGTCTACATAGTGGGTTCCAGGTCAGCTGGGGCTACAGGGAGACTGTCTCTGAAAAAGACAAAAAAACAACGACAACAACAACAACAACAAAAAAAAACCTGTGTGAAACCTTTAGAATGGCTTAAATAAAAAACAGTTCAACCCAAATGCTGGCAAGGATGCAGAGAACCTGGACCACTTACACACTGCTGATGGGATGTGAGATAGCGATATGACCCTGAGAAGTACACGGCAGCTTCCTAAGACGCTTAACTTCCCACTACCATAGGACCCAGCAATTGTATTCCTGGATGTTCAACCCCCAAGTAGTGAAGACTTATGTTCACACAGAAAGCAATATGCAAACATTCATACGGCATTATTTGTAATAGCAAAAGGAATTGCAAACAGCATTGATGTTCCAGTAGTGGGTGAATATGTGAAGTTTTGGAAACTTTATACCATTGAATAGTACTTAGCAATTAAAAAAAATAAAGTGATACCTATAATCACATGCCTGAGTCTCCAGTGAATTATGCTAAATGAAAGAAGCCAGTTCCAAAAGGTTACATAATACAAGATTCTGCTCTAATAGTATTCTTAAATTCTGCTTGTAGAGAATAGATTTAGTGGTTGGGGGGAAGTGACTGACCATAGAATGCCTTCTCTCCCTCCTCTCTCTTTTTTCGGATTTACTCATTTTTATTTTATGTGCACGAATGTTTTGCCTGCAAAGTGCACAATGTGTGTATAGTGCCCTCAGAGACCGAAAGCGGGCATTGGTTCCCCTGGAACTAGTTACAGGCAATTGTGAGCCATCATGTCAGTACTAGGAACCTAACCCCAGGCCCTCTGGCAGAGCAATAAGTGCTCTTAACTGCTAAGCCATCTCTCCAGTTCCACAATATATCTTTAAAAAAAAAAAAAATTTCCAAAACAAAACAGAGAAAAGAGTAATACTGCTTTTTATTCTTGCAAATCTCTTTACTGTCTTGCTTTCTCTTTTGCAAATGTCCTTAACATATAAGTGTTACACACACACACACACACACACACACACACACACACGCACACACACACGCACGCGCGTGCGCACACACCACATACAGATGTACCATTGGAAAAGGCAGCAACTTTGGGGAGTCCCTAAAAATATCTTGGCCTGCTCAAGGACTCTGGGGAACTCTATTTTGGAAACTGCTGATATGAAATTTCTTGGTTTCGTCTGAGTTTTCTCTCCTCAGAGTTGCACTCAAACTGGACTTTTTGTTGAAGTCCTTGATGGAATGGGTAATTTTGGAAAATTTGGGGAATACACAACTGAGAGTAGCATAATGAAGAGAAACTGCTTCATAGCTGGCTTTTTTTCCCAGTACTGTATGTATTTTCTTTTTTAAATTTTTATTTATTATTTTTACTTAATGTATATGAATGTATTACCTACATGTAGATAGGTGCACCCATGTCATGCAGTGCCTGGAGGAGGTCAGAAGAGGGTGTCCTATCTCCTGGAATTGGAGTTATAGATGGTTGTTAGTCATCATGTGGGTGCTGGGAATCAAACCCAGGTCCTCTGTAAGAACAGCCAGTGCTCTTAACCACTGAGCCAACTAGCGCTCTAGCCCACTTGCCTATATTTTCTTAAATGGAAGATGAGGTCTGTTGGCTCAGGAGGCTCCAGCCTTTGGAGGAAATGAACAAGTCTCCAAAGAGCCCTGAGTCAAGCACCCAGGTTATGCAGTCCTGGGAAACAAGCTGTATAAAAGTGGTGTGGTCCATTGAACGGCCTATTAACGAGAGATTAGTTTTGCTTTCCCCTCCCCTTTAAGTCACTGCCTGTGGGTCACCTCTTGGCTCTCTGGGTAATGTGATTAGCTGGGCTGTGGTCACAGGGAGAAGACCACTGCCACAAAGCTCTTTGCTTCTTTGCCGTTCCTCTCCCTCAGGGAAGCAGAGTGTTTATAGCCACAGGGGGCATTGTTAACTCTGGATTTAAATGAAATGGGATATTTATGATGCCCTCCTGCCTCCTCCAACCCAAAAAATGTTGATTCAGGGAGACACTTAGGGAAGAAATAGACAGAAGGCAGATGTGCTGCCTTTCCCAGATGCTGAGCAGATACGCTGCCTTCTCAAGTAGGTAGTTAGCAAGAATCTTTAGTAATCTCACCAGACATTTCATCTGGCTCAAAATCCTCCATCAGAGGGATACAGAGTAAACAAGCATCGCGTTCCTATTTCATGGGTATAACTGTGGTCGCCTCATGTTTATATGCAAGACTGTGTGTGTATACTTATAAAATGCAATAGTGCCTTATTGGACTGTGAATGTCTTTCCATAAATGCTTAATGATTCAATAATGATTTTAAAGGCAATGTATGTTCACTCACCACAAGAAGCAGCTAGTAGAGAATGCAGAACCCCCATTTGTTATCTTTTAATGCAAATTGACACATCTAGTTATTTCTGAGGGACAAATTTTAGTGATTTTGATCATTTAGATTGTGTTACATAGGAAAATGTCCTGGATGGGGAGACTTTTCATGCCCACAATACTGAATTTTTACAAGCTTTGATTTGATGCCAGCAACACACACTTCAGCCTAGATTTGCGAACAGTGGGTAGGGCCTGCTACATGCTCTAAAGACTTGCCCCAGTGCCATGTCCCTCCACAGCCAGAGCTGAGACGCAAATCCAAAAGGGACAGAAAAATGGTGAGAGGGCAGAGTCCTTAAAGGTACATTGGGAGCAGAGAACGCAGCCTTCACCTACAAGGACCAGTTCAGATGTTTCCTTACCTTGGAACAGTGATGGTCAATATTTAACAGCCAGCTCCTAATGGGAATAAACCCTGATTTGTAGTGTTGGTTATTCCTATGCTATAAACAGTCCCATGTGGCTGGTTTTAATCTACCATTCTGACATGGCTGCACTTGAGGTTGGGAAGTGACACACCGATAGGCTCTTGCCCACCAAACACTAGCCTTAGGGCACTATGCATGTGTGTGACTTCTTTCCCCTTAATTTTGAGTTAGATGTCTACATACTTGTCTCTCTGGGGAGACTGTGAACAAGGTGAAGGCAAAGTGTCTAAAGTCCTGGCATCACTTATCTATAGTGCCAGGCATAGCCCCATAACAAAGTCCTTGTAACTGGTCATCCAACTGCATTAGCACTGCTATTTTAAAACTGAAACAAGACAGAGAAGATAAGTATGGCCCCTGAGCAAGGATGACATGCAAATTCACGGGGCATTCTATATTAATTTTTTTTTCTATGACAGAGTCACCAGTATTAGCTCATTTGGTGATGATGAGGATAATAATGAATTAGAGAAATTAATGTATATGTTGAAAGAATAAAATGGTTGATGCCTCAACTGTGCTCATTCTGTGTTGGAAACCAGCCAAGTTTGTTTTCGTGGTCCCTCTCTTGTTCTTCCTGACTCCACAGAGCGTTTCTTCCTGTCTTTTCTCACAGTTTCCTTTGCTTATTAATTATGTGCATATATGCAAATATTTGTAAATGATTCTCAATTGTTAGAGTCCTAGAATTTATTTCACATGCAGTTATCAGTGCCATCTTTCTGCAATATTAATCTTTTGTTAGTTTTCCTTACCAGGGAGCTAGAGGAATCTAAACATCTCAAATCAAATCACAGAATCCTCCCCAACTCTGGAGACCAGACAAGGGAAGAGACAGAAGGGCATTTCTCTCAGGCCCTGCCAGCCTCTGAAGGTTCTCAGGAGGCCACTGGGGAGGTGCCCCCAGGTTCTCCAAGTTACAGGAGGAACCAGGTGCCTAGGAGCTTGGTTTATTATTCCAGCTCAAGCACAGAATTATAAACGCCAGGCAAATTATTTCCCTATAGTCATTCAAAAGACTTCCATGTCTTCCTTTACTTGTCCATAATCTGGGAATAAAAACATTTTTATAGATTTTGGGGTAAACTTCAGTTATGTGAAGTAGTACTTTAAAAGCGTGAGGCATACGGACACAGGAACCTAGAGAAGGAGGCACGCTCTATAAATGGGCAGCCCACACCTTCAGAGAAGGAGGTTCCCGGTAGAGATACTGCACATGAATTGAAGAGGAGAATTGTTTTTCTGTGAACTTTACACCAGTGACCTCATGGCTGATATAGGCCTAGAGCTGATCCAAATATGTCAGACACCATTCACATTAAAATGTTTATTATTTTTTACATGATTGTCTTATTTCCTTTAACAATCCTATCAAACTAGTCCTATTGTCCTCTTTATGCAGGTGATAAAAGCAAGGTCTGGAGAGGTTTCTATGATAGAAAGTCAACAGGAATATCACAGTTGATATTTGCGTTCAACAGAGCTGCCAGAGTCTGTGCCTTTGGGCACTAGGTTATTATCTGCTGCACATGGGGAGATAGGAGGGAGAAACTTGGAAAGCATCTGTCCTTTTTCCTTCCTTCCTTTCTTTCTTTTTTTCTTTCCTTCTTTCTTTGTTTATTGTTTTTTGTTTTTTTTTTTTTTTGAGACAGGGTTTCCCTGTAGCCACAGCTGGCCTAGAAGTCGCTATGTAGACCGAGTTGGTCTTCATCTCACGGAGATCCACCTGCCTCTCTCAATCCTGGCATTGACAAAAGTAAGAAAGTGTGTTCCTTTTTCTTGAAAATCAGCACTCTGGATGAGAGGTAAAAACATTTACAGCATGATCAAAACAAAAGTAATGACCAGAATTTATTATGTCTATGTATAGACATGCATCCATGTTCTATTTTAGGGATGACTATTTAACACTTAACATGCATGTTGCCATTTAGTTAGGACAATTATTTGTCTTTGAAAATATTGAGGATCAGGGCTGGAGAGGTGGTTCAGTGGTTAAGAAACCTTATTTCTCCCACAGATACCCTGTGTTCAGTTCTTAGCACCCACAGCAGATGACTCACAACTACCTGTAACTCTAGTTCTAGGGAATCTGACACCCTCTGGCCTCATCAGGTACTTGTTTGCATGTGGTGCACATAAACTCACACAGGTACACACACATAAATAAGAATGAATAAAATAAAATTTTAAAAGAAAACATTGAGAATTCATGACACAAGGATGCAAATTATATTTAGAAAAACTTTTTTTTTTTTTGAGACAGAGTATTATTGCACAGCCCAGGCTGGCCTTGAATTCAAGGTCCTCCTGCCTCTGCCTCCTGAATGCTGGATTACAGGTGTGTGTCACCACACCCAGCTAAAGCATGGCTACATCCTTGACAATACCTCAGCTTCATTGCGATCCAGTCCACAATTTCCCGGTTGAGCAAAGATTGCAGAAGTTTCCAGTTTTTATCAAATGTTTGCGCTGAACTTTTGTTAATTTAGGCTTTTGTTGCTCTACTACATAGATTTATCCTCAGAGATGAAATCTGGGCAAAGTATAGCTGAGACTATGCAAAAGACACTATTTCAGCTACATTTGGGGTGGATATTCTTTTGGATTAAACCTTATTTGCTCAATAGCTTTTGTTGTGAAAGGAATATTCTAGATTCATAGCTAGTCTCTCCAAAATTCTGCCAGAGGAGGAACCATTTTATTCACCTATTCCTGGAAGGGGGCGACGCTTGTCCTCATCTATAAGCCTCAAACAGGAATTTGAACAAACCTACTGACTGTGGCCTAAGAGTAGATAAACAACTGCAACAGCTCATGGAAGAGTCTTTAGTTCAAACGATCAGCTTTATATTCTTAGCTGATTGTACACTCTGTCCCTACGTAGCCTGGAAATGGGGAAAACTGGAGCGAAAACAAAGCAGCAGCATGTTCACACGTGGGTCACAGGCCCGGTCTTGCTGGGCCTCAGAGATTGGAGAGGATTCCCATAAAACATGGAGATAGAGGCCTAGGGGGAGCAGCCAGAGGGGATAATTGCTTGAGCTTCTGAGAGCTGTCAGTAACATGCAAAACCAGGAGGTGTCCATCAGCACAGGAGCCACATTGGCAGCTAGGTTTACTAGAAATGAGGCCATTTAAGACTCACCAATGAAGCCCAGCTTCCTCCTTCAGAGAGGGAAATGACCATACAGCAGGCAGAGGCAGGAGGATTGCGAATTCCAGGCTAACATGGACTAAAACATGAGATTCTGTGAAAACTGCTGAAGTCACTCAGGAGAGACGCAGCAGTGCTGTTTCATCTGGAGCTGTGGGAACACTCACTTCTCCAAGTCCCTCTTGGAAGCTGGACTGTTGGATCTGAAGGTGGCCATTCCCCCTGGATTACAGAAAGGAAGGCCTCCAGCTGACTGCTTTTTCCAAGGTTCTTAGGTCAAGAAGAATTACTCTGTGACTTCTTGTTGTTCAACATACTTTTAAATATCTCCTAGGAGTAGAAGGGGTACATTTAACTATATTTTTCCTGTACTATCTTACAAAGAGCAGATTTTAATTCAGCATCCCAGAATAACACCTAAGTAATTTTTAAGACAGTTTGTTCTCCCAAGGAGATCACAGGTACAAGTTCTTCTGAAAGAAGAATCTCTGAATCTGTGGTGACTGCTTGCTAGAATAGCACGTTAGGAGCTAGAAGCTGGGGCAAGTCTAGAACCATCCCCAGTGGAAAAAGGCCCAAGAGGTCAGCCCAGTCCTCTCAGGACCTGAGTTCCTGCCAACGAAAAAGCAGAAGTGGGAGGAGAGAAGATGTGTTACCTTGTTATGTTTTTTAGATATTATTATTATTACTATTATTATTATTAATATATGTGCATGAGTGTTTTGCCTGCATGAATTTAAGTACATCTTTGTCATGCAGTGCCCACAGAGGCCAGAAGAGGGTGTCAGATCCTCTGTTCAGTGGAGTAACAGAAGGCTAGCTGAGCTAGGTCCTCTGCTTTTTTAATACATGGATTCTTTTTAAAGACATGAAGACTGGTTATCATTAAAAATGTGATGCCACAGAAAGAAAACTTTAAAAATCCATGCTTGACTCATAAAAAAGACAGATGCAATAATTCATATGGGAAAAAGGAACTTTTTAGTCAAGGGATAAACCACTGCAAAATGTGTAACTCATAGGTCCACATCTTTGGAAATGTCCTTTGATAGTGGAATTTGAGTTTTATGCTGCTTATAATTAAAGTTTGGAGTTAAGTTTCTTCAGGGGGAGAAAATAAACTGTTTAAAGCCAACACCTTGTTTCTCAGGAAGTAACCTGGGGCAGGGTTTTATGGCTTTAGTCCCTGGCTGGCACTCTCTTCCTAATTTTCAAACTGCTTCCAGCACTTCCTCTTTATGGCGGGGCTGAGCTTCAGGCACTGGTAGAGAAGTGCAGACCTGCCCTGGCCCATCTCAGCTGTAGACAGGCTGCAAAAAGCCATAGGGCAGTGAGGATGACAAAGGTGGTGGCAGGAGCTGAGTGCACTCAGATGCTGGCTAATTATAAATAAGCCCAGGAAAACTGAAATGGAAAACACGAAGAACAACCAGCCTTCTGAAGTCATAGCCACATCTCTGTTAGCCAGCACTGGCTAACAGGTTAGAAAGAATCTTCAGGAATCTTTTGAGTCAAGTATTAAGGACATCCATTATTAATAAAGTCATACACATTTATGACCCATGGACTGGAGAGATGGCTAGGTGGTTGGTGAAGGGTGCTTGGTGCACAATCATACAAACCAGAGCTCAGATTCCCACATGACAAGCCAGGTGTCCTGCAAATACCTGCAACTCCAGCGCTGAGAGATCTGAAGCTGTCTCAGGTTCATTCACTGGCACACACACACACCCATACACTCATGCACACACACACACACACACACACACACACACAAACAAATAAAAGCTTTTTAAAAAATTGGGGTCAGTGAGGTGGCTCAGCAGGTAAAGGTACTAGTCACCAAAACTGACAACCTGAATTCAATCCTGGAACCCATGTAAAAGTGAAAGAAGATGGGGTGGGGGCTGGAGAGATGGCTCAGAGATTAAGAGCACTGGCTGCTCTTGCAGAGGACCCAGGTTCAGTTCCCAGCACCCACATGGCAGCTAACAACCGTTTGTAACTCCAGTTTCAGGGGATTTGATGTCCTCTTCTGGTCTCTGTGGGCACTGTATGCACGCAATGCACTTACATGCAGGAAAAGCACTCATTCACATAAATAAAAAGAAATAAAATTTTTTGAAAATAATTTATTGAGAATTTCATACACGCATATAAGGTGTTTGGATCAAATCCACGCCCACTCCCTCCCCTCCAACTCCTCCCATATCTCCCCATCACTTTTTTTCTGATAACTTTATGT